CTGCTTGCACGGCAGGCGCTTATACTGCTGAGCTAAGCCCCTATTTTTCCCCAGCCCCTATTTTTCTCTCTTTAAAGTTAAAAAAAAACTGGGGATTTAGCTCAGCGGCATAAGCGCCTGCCTTGCAAGCAGGCAGTCATGAGTTCAATCCCTGGTACCGATAAAAATGAAAAAAAAAAGATTTTGGAACGTGGTGGGATGATAAATATATTACTAAAACCCTAGACTTCCAGGAAGGTAATAAAATGGTGAACAGCAGAGAAATGTACTCTCCAAGATTTGGTGTCCAGGCACTGGAAGAATATAGAGTGTGAAGAAGAGAAGAAGGGGGAAGTAACTTCCCAGGTCCTGGCAAGGATCTACAGCAAGAATTGAAGCCCCCAGGGAGAGTGAAGAGACCTCAGTGCAGAGGGAGGTGGCAGGCAGTGATTTCTCCCTGGGCTCTGATTTGCTGCCTGGGCGGGGCAGCTCAAACCTCAGATCCATGGTGACTGTGGTGACCCAGAGGACTTCATGGAGAAATGTACCAGTGGAATGGAGCAGTGAACACAAGGGACTGCAGTAGCTAGGGAGGTATTCAGGTGCAGACGTCCCCCAGAAGAGGGCAATTGGCCCACAGTCATCTTGGAGAACTTACAGCAGCTACAGGTAGGCTTCAGGGTCAGGGTGAGGTGGAACTGAGTTCCAGTCAGCAGGGGTCAAGGAGCTAAGTTCTAGCCGACAGGAGGCACATGGAGTGCTGCAGGCTGAATAAACTGGGTTCCAGCCTCACAATCAGAAAACAGCCTGCGCTTCAGACTAAAGATGCAGGCATGCTGGGATTATCCACTACCGCAGCAAATCTAGGCTGGCTTGCTGGGTTTGATTGATATGGATCTGGTCTCTGTCTACTAGTGACAGCAGAGACACACCCTGAAGTGGACATTTTTTTTTCTTTTTTTTTTTGTTTTTGCTTTTATGAATGTGAATACTATTTCTAGCTTTATTATTGTTCTGTTCTTGTTTTTATTTTTTCTTCCTTTTTCCCTCCTGTCTTCTGCACCAGTTTCTCAAGGTTTGAATAATCTTTGTACTCCAGCCTTGCTTCTAATCTCTTCCTCTTCTTCTACTTGTCTATTTTTCCCTCTAAGCCCTTTTAAAATTTCTCCCTGACTAGAAAATCCCATATTGAGGGCATATTTACTATATACAATTTTCTGGTTTGATTTAGATTTTGTTATATAATCACAAATCTAGTTCATATGGTTAAAGGTAGCAAATCAATAACTACCACAGTTTGTCATTTCCTAGGCTCTGTTTGCTGCTATTGTTATTGCTGATTGTACTACTCTAGTCAAGATGATATAGTTGCTCGAATCAGTTGTTCTTTCTGGAATGCCAAGACTGAGATTGTCTAAGGGTCATAAAAAATACTATAGGCTAGGGCCAAAAAACCAGACGCTAGGCCAAGTAGGCAGCAACTTCTCAGCCCTAATAAATTAAAGAGGTAGGATCTTGCAAAAGACTCAAAACTCAAAAGCCTACTATACCTGAAAGACTTCTCTAAGAAGCAGTTATTTCCTAAGGGATCTCAATGCCACCAATAAATCTACTTGCCATAAGCAATTTGCAAGCATCAACTAAGGAATTAAAATTTAAAAAAAAGAAGTAAAGAAAATGGAAGGAGGGGCTGGGGATTTAGTTCAGCGGCATAAGCACCTGCCTTGCAAGCAGGCAGTCATGAGTTCAATCCCTGGTACCGATAAAAACGAAAAAGACAAAAAAAAAAAAAAAAAGAAAAAAAGAAAGAAAGAAAATGGAAGGACACAGAAGCAAGATATAACCCCAGACTTCCAGCTCACCAAAAGTAACTCAAGGGCCAGTGAGATGGAACAATTTGAAAGCCACCCACCTGGACTTTCTACGGAAATAACAAAGCAGATGAGTAAGGCTCTGGAAAAATCAAATCTGAAATAATTTCTCAGATAACTATAGAGATGGTGACCATAATGAAGGACAATGGTTAGTGATTCTAGAGCAGATACACATTTCTAAAAAAAATAGAGGAGTTTAAGAAAACTATGGAAACCATGAGTATCCGTCATAGGAAAGCAACAGAATTCATGAAACACATTCAAACAGATACCCAGGAGATAAAAACTCTACTTAAAGTATTATACAGTATAACTGAGTCAATACGAAGTGAGAATATCAAATACAGAAGATAAGATTGCAGTTAGTGATCACAAAAAGAAAGATTTCTTAAAAATAGCACAGGATCACAAGGAATCAATCCAACAGCTGCTAGATAACGCAAAGAATAACAAGATTGATTGAAATCAATGAAAAGCAGGAGATGGCACAGTGACATAAAAAGCCTGTTCACAGAAGTAATAGCAGAAAACATCCCAAACAGGGAAAAAGCATTTGACACACAGATAAGTGAAGTATATAGAATTCCAATAAGCTATGAACAAAATAAATCTACACCAAGAAATATAATAGTCAAGATTTCAGAATTCAACACAGAAACATGTAAACACTGTTAGAGAAAAGAAAAAATTACCTATAAAGGAAAACCCATCAATATCACAGCTGACTTCTCAACACAAACCCTCAAGTCAAGGAAAGCTTGGAGTGAAATATTTCAAGCCCTGAATGAAAACAATCTCCATCCCAGATTGATGTACCTGCAAAACTATCTTGCAAAATTGATGGAGAAATAAGATACTTCCATGACAAAAAAAAAAAAAAAAAAAAAAAAAAACCCTGAAGAAATTCTTAATCACCAAACCAGCACTCTAAGCTGTTCTGAAGTTTGTGCACCAAAAACCAGCACACCCAACTGTATAAAACAAATATTAACAGACCTGAGAAATCACATTAGCACTAATATAACTGTGATACAAATAAACAGATCAACTAGACAAAAAAAAATCAACAATGAATTATCAGAATTGAACACATAAACTTAGTAGAGGTCTACAGAGTATTCCACCCTGTAATACCAGAATACACATTTGGGAGGTTCTCCAAAATAGACCACACACTATCTCACAGAATATGTTTACATAAATGCAAAGGAACTGAAGTTGTCCCATGCATATTATCAGACCATAGTTGGAAATCAATGAATCAATACGAAATTAATGCCAAAAGGAACCACAAAAACTTCATAAACACATGAAGATTAAATGAAACTCTCCTAAAAAAGCAATGGGTTACAGATTAAGTTAAAGAAAAAAATTTGACAGTTTCTTTTACATTTAAAAGATAATGCCAATACAAGATAACAGGACTTATGGGACATAATGAAAGCAATCTTAAGAGGGAAATTTATAGCAGTGAATTCCCATATTAGAAAAACAGAGTGAGTTCAAATAAACAACCTAATGCTAAACCTCAAGTATCTGGAAAAAGAAGAACATTTCAAGCCTAGTGCTCATAAAAGGGAGGGGCTGGGGATTTAGCTCAGTGGTGTAAGCGCCTGCCTTACAAGTGCACAGTCCTAAGTTCGATCCCTGGTACCAAAAACAAAGGTAGGAAATTATAAAAATCAGAGCAAAAATTAATCTGAGACTAAAAAACCAATACAAAGGATGAATTGAAGTTTGTTCTTTGAAAGATTAAATAAAACTGACAAACCGTTTGCTAACCTTATCAAAAAAGAAAACAGAAGACTTAAATCCATGCATTTAGGAATAAAAAGGGTGAAATCACAACAAATCCTGTAGAAATCAAGATTAATACCTATTTGGAGAACCTGTACTCTAATAAGATGGCAAACACAGAAAAAATGAACAGATTCCTAAATACAAATGAATTACCAAAGTTGAATCAAGAAGAGGTGAAAATTCAAAATAATCCAGAAGTAGAAACAATCCCAAATCTATCAACTGGTGAATAGATATAATGGGATATAACCCACAACAATGGAAAATTGTTTACCCCATGAAGATAAATGAAATAGTAATCCATGGTGTAATGTAGGTAAACCCTGAAAACACAGTTTGGGAGCTGAGGTTAGGAGGAGACAGTGAGTGATTGCTAATGGGTATGTAATATCTTTGGGGATCATGATAATGTTCTAATGTTGACTGTGATGATGGATGTACAATGCAAACATTCTAAAAATCATTGAATTACGTACTTTAAAACAGTTAATTTTATCTCACCCTTTTGTATCTCAATAAAGCTAATATTTAAAATATTTTTTAAAAAAAATAATTACTAGGGGGCTGGGGATTTAGCTCAGCGGCATAAGCACCTGCCTTGCAAGCAGGCGGTCGTGAGTTCGATCCCCGGTACTGATAAAAAGGAAAAAGACAAAAAAAATAAAAAATAATAATAATTACTAGGGGGCTGGGGATTTAGCTCAGCAGCATAAGCACCTGCCTTGTAAGCAGGCGGTCGTGAGTTCGATCCCTGGTACCATTAAAAAACGAGAAAGATTAAAAAAAAAAAAAATTACTAAAACAAGAAAGAATGACCCCAGTACAGAGCTCAGTCATCCTCTGCAAAGTCAGCTGGCATGCAGAGGGCCTCTGGCTCTGTCCAGTCTTTTCTCTTTGAGGTCCCTATGGAGTAAAGAAGATCTTGGAACTCCGAGAAGACACTCCCCCCCACCCCCAGCTTCACTGAAAGCTGCCCACAAGTAGATTTGAATGTGCATGAAACGCAGTGCCCCCTACTGTACAGTATCCAGGACACTGCTTTACCCTTCTACTTGGAAGACTGAATTCTCACCTCACCTGCCTAAACTACAGCTATAGGTATCCCATTCTGGGTTGAGCCAGAGACAAACTCCTATATACTTCCTGGAAACACCACACAAAATTTAACCAAGCAACTGGGATAGGAAAGCCTTTTATAAAAACTTGCCTTAAAGCTAAAGGCAAGGCCTACAGCTAAAAGAAATATAACTGAAATTATATGAGTGTTCTGTTTTCTAGATTTTTAGATCCCCTAAATGTGGGTTTGGTCACAAGTGGACTTTTTTTCAAACGACAATACATACTTACCTGCCAGCTGTTGTCTACAGAAATTCCTCTTTGTACTCGAATAATGTATTCCTAAAAGGGAGGGAAGGAGAAAAAGAGTCTCAGTTATAAAATCATAGAATTAAAAATGAATAGGGGCTGGGGATTTAGCTCAGCAGCATAAGTGTCTGCCTTGCATGCACGTGGTCATGATTTTGATTCCCGGTACCGATAAAAAAAATGAATAAATGTATCAAAGTAGACTTTGGGGGGAAAGATTTAAATTGTACATCTTTCATGTGAAAATACAAAATTCTCTGAAATCTGAAACTTTCTAAGCCTCCATGTGATGTTCAAAAGTTTCAGATTTGGGGGTGAGACATGAGGTTCCTTGGTGGCGCCCTTGTTTAGACTGTGGGAGGGAGACCCTCGGTTTGCTCCTCATCCCTCCCCTCACAAAAAAGTTTAAGATTTTGGAGCATTTCAAATTTTCAGATTAGGGACACCTAAGTGGTAAAGTACATGCAAATACTCCCAAATTTGACAAAATGCTCTTTTTTTTTTTTTCCGGTCTTTTTCGTTTTTATCGGTACCAGGGATCGAACTCACGACTGCCTGCTTGCAAAAGCAGGCGCTTATGCCGCTGAGCTAAATCCCCAGCGACAAAATGCTCTTTAGAGCCTAAGAATTTTGGGTAAGGGACACTCACACTATACCAGAAAGGACAGGGCCGTAACATAAAGACAGAAGGGTGATCAACCAGGCACACACAGTAACCCTAAATGTGTATGCATTAAACAACAGAACCATGAAACACGTAAGGCAAAACTGACACTAAAATAAGAAAAAGATCAACCCACAATTATAGTTGAAAACTTCAACACTCCCTTCTTAGTAATTGAAAGAAAAACAGAAAGCCTGCTAGGCTATAAAACAACTCAACAATATTATAAAACAATAGCATTTATGGAGCACTCCATTCAGTAACAGAATACAAATTCTTTTGAAGTGACCAGGTACCACAAACCAATATAAACCACATCCAGAGCCACAAAACAAATGTAAACAAATTTAAAATGGAAATTAATAACAATGATAACAAGAAAATCTCTGTAACGTTTAAAATTAACATACTTCTAAATAATCCCTGGCCAAAGAGGAAACTTGAAGAGAAAAGAACACGTTGAACTAAACACACACACACACACACACACACACACACACACACACAAACACACAAAGGGTTTGGACTTGGAACATGATATCCCAAAGGACAGTGCCTTGGCATGCTAAATTCCTTGAACTCAGGGAAAGAGATTAGAAACAAGATCTTTCTGGCATTCTCTTTTCTTTCTTTTTCTTCTAAAGGTAGGCCACAGAAACTAGAATTGCTTTTTCTCCAGGTGGATCATAGAAACTAAAATTCTTCTCTCCCAAGCCAGGTATAAGGCCCAGAAATATTATTCTGTGTGGCTTTCTGTGTGGCCAAAACCAAATTTTTTGATCTACCTTCTCTGATAATGGACCATAATACCCTCTTTTCAGAAAGGGTCCCACCATATACCTAGAAGAAAGAGATGTTACACAGAGGGGCCAGGAAGAATCTTAACAGACAGGTCTTTCTGGGTTTCCCAGTGATCTGTTCCCAAAAACCCTCTGTTCAGTCACATTTCAAAATAGCTGCCCATTCTTCATCCAACCTAAGTATAAAGACCGTTTTCCCTGAGTCTTTATTTGTGTAGGTTCCAATGGCACATAAAACACTGATCAAATATCTGTTACGCCATTCTCTTGTTAATCTGTGTTAGTCAGTTTTTACATCAAACCTATCCTGAAACTTTAGCAGAGATGGAACTATTCCTACTGTACAACAACATATCAAAATTTATGAGGCGCCGCCATGCTGAAAGGAAATGGAAGCACTATATGCTTTTATGAAAAAAATATCAAATCAATAATCTAACTGCCCCCAGATCCAAGAAAAGAATAGCATAATAAACTTTAAGCAAGTAGAAGGGAGAAAATAAATACAGGTAAGAGGAGAAAACAAGTGAAAAATAAAAAAAAAAAATGAAAAACTGATTCTTTGGAAAAAAAAAAAGAACTGACAAAGTTCTTCAGCAAAGTTAACAAAGAACAGAGATCAGACATGAATTACTAGTATCAAGAGTGAAACACAGTATCACACAAACTGCAGATACAAAAAGACAAAAGGGCTGGAGGCACAGAGGTAAATGCACCAGGCTTCTGCATAAAGCAAAGGCTGATAAAAGCCATACAATACACATTCCATTTGAATGAATCGACTATGTACGTGGCACCGTGCCCAGCTGGTTTCATATGGAGTTAAAAATAAACATTTTAAAACTTTTTGTAGGGCTGGGGATTTAGCTCAGTGGCATAAGTGCCCACCTTGTAAGCATGTGGTTGTGAGTTCAATCCTCGATGCCAAAAAAAAACCTTTTTGTATAGCTCTGAAAAGTCTTAGTGTAATTATTTCTGAATATAAAGACAATGCTAAAAACATCTCACAGTCTTACTTTAGGGAATCAGTTCATTAGTTTTAAAACGCTCTTTGCTTTGGGATAGTTTACTGCCAAATTGCCCGGCTCTTTCTATTTTAATAGTGGAGCTGTAAATGAGCTCATTCAATTCCAAGCAAATACAAGTACATTTTGATGTCTAAAGTAGGGGAAAATATTAAATCTCAAAAACCAGACTGAGCATCACTGCTTCATTTCTCACAGGAATAATATTTTCTAACATTCCAGCTCAAGGGAAAACACACCACCATGTTAACGGGGGAGCATCCGATGACACCAGCTGGAATTTCCCTATCTCCTCACGTCTTCCTAAAGTCCATCCATCTAATAAACTCATAGTTAGAATTTCATCCATAATGGTCACTAATCCAGTAAATGTTTACACCAAAATGTTTACACCAAAAACTAAAAATTCCAGCTGTTTTGGGCAGCTAGCAGGTGTTACATAAGCATTTGCTGGTTCCTTGAAATCCTTTTGAGTTTAAAGTTTGGACATAGGTTTACAAAGATGTTGCTACTGGGTGTAAACGTGGACTAAGTACCTTTCACGTTCCACATCCTAAGTGTTTCTCCTATTGGGGGTATAACTGATCAAGAAAGATGCAGTTTGACTAGAAAGGCATTGTATGCTATTCTTTTACTCAGTGCACAATTCATTAAGTCTAAACTTGGTTGTAAAACAGCCTACAGTAATGTTTAGGGAGAGTATTTGGCAGGTAGAAAGCACAAGCTACCAACGGAGCATGGAGCCAAGCATGGTGGGGCACACCTGTCACCCCTGCATTCCGGGATGCTGAGGTAGCAAAATCACGAGGTCAAGCCTCACCTGGGCAACACAGTGAGACCCTGTGTCAAAATGAAAAGGCAAACAGCGTGGGAAAGCTGCTTGGTGCAGAGGTCTGGGGTTCAGTCCCCGATACCACACACACACACACACACACACACACACACGCACACTCACACACACATACACACACAGAAAAGAGGGATGAGTCTTGACAGCAGGGTGTGATGCCCTAAAGTGACACCCTAACCAACATGTTTCTGCTAAGATACTATATGTTTAGGTCAGCGCTCTCTGAACAATGATTCATTTAGCAACGTTGGGCAACATTTCTGACTGTCACAGAGGCAAGAGGAGTGCTACCCAGCAGGCCAGGGATGCTGTCCAACATGCTGTATGCCCAAGGCAACTGCCATACAAAGTACTGTCTGGCCCCAAATGTCAGTGTGGCGAGGAAGAGAAACTCAGGGCAAAGTAGTTACAATAACACTGCCATCCCAGTCCATGCAGGCGTGAGACGCAGGACGCTGGGAATTGCTTTCATCATCTGTCCTTGGCCACAGACCACTGGCTCCCACACACACCACCCACGACAGTGATGCCAAACCTTTGGCACACGTGTCAAGTCGCCCCAGCAATCGAAATTTAGGCTTAATTGCAGTGTTGGCACTTTATGATAAAAACATGGGTTCTGGGTTCAGTTTGGGTACTTGGTCTCCACAGGTTCACTACTTCTCACCTAGAGGTTCTGCCTTGCTATAGGGGATGCAATCCCCCCGCTGTGCTTCCACTGTAAAGGTACAGACGGAGTCAAAGGTGGTTACCAGAGGACAGGACAGGGTGGGTAGAAGTTCCGATCAGACAGAAGGAGGAAGTCTTAGTGATCTACTGCACTGTGTGGTGACTACAGTTAATAACGATGCATGTTTCAAAGCTCCTAAAAATAGGTTTTAAATGTCCGCCCCACAAGGAAATGGGAAGCATGTGAGGTGCTGGGTATGTTAATTAGCTCAACTTAATCACTTCACATAGTATTTATCATAATAACATACTATATCCCATAAATATATACAATTACTATGTGTTCATTAAAATGAAATGAAATTACCTTTTCAAGAGACCAACAAAACTGACTAGATAATATTGTTTTCGGGGGTTTTTTTTGTTTTGTTTTGTTTTTTTGAGACAGGCTTGCTATTGGCCCTGGATGCAACTATGTAGCCCAAACTGTCTTCAAACTCATGGTCTGGCCTGTCTCAGTCTCCTGGAATTACAGGTGTGTGCCACCACACCTCACTGACTAGACATATATGATAAAAATACCATAAAGTTGCTAGCATGCATGATGTATGAGTTCAAGTCCTATTTCCCCTTTGAAAAAAAAAAAAAACAAATAAACCTACAAAAAAATAGGGTGGCGATCTCCACTGTAGTCCTTAAGCCCATCTGCCACAGTTAAAGATATAGAAAAAGAACAGGAAACAAGAGAGATTTTACGCAGACACATTCTCTGTTTGTTTGTTTTTCAGTGCCAGGAATCAAACTCATGACCTTGCGTTTGCCATACAAGTGCTGCCACTGAGCCATATCCTCGGCCCTTCAGAAATTTTTTTTAATTTTTTTTAAGGTTAGTCAAGTGAAGCAGTGGGAGTGGAGAAGGAACAAAGAAATCTGTAACTGGTTGTGATCAATTAGTTGTAAACACCACTGTACTCGGACCAACCTTCAGAAATATTCTTAATCTACTTCAGTGGAGTAAGTTCGCC